TGGTTTAGACCGAGGCATTTGCGCATAGGTGGCCGGTGTAGAGCGGGCATCGGGTCAGGCCATGGCGTAGCTATGCCCTCCTATCCCACGCCCGGCGGCTGCAGCGGTGAGCGGATGGAGCGGTTTGACTGGTGCGCCCCCATTCCCCCGGTAGGGGAAGAGGTTGCGAGTCGGTGTCACAACGAGGAGCTCTCCGCCTGTTGAACGACGGCGGTCTCCACCAGTGCCCGGAGGTTCCGGTGGACTGCCTATGCTTATGGGTCGACAGGCTTGGGAAGGCCGCGTAGAAGCATCACCGCCGCGGCGATGTTCTGGCCAGCTCGAGCGAACTATGGGGGATTGTCCCCCCCCATTGATGATGTTGCACTGGACCTAGCGAGCGCGACCCTGGGCACCGCTCGCCGTGTTACGCGCATGTGGCGTAGCATGCTGCGCCGAGCGCGCCGGCGCAGGTGGCGGCTGGTTTTGCCGCCTTTGTCGTAACTCCTCGCCGTGCTCCTATGCACAAGCGAGGGCCTCCACGCGAGGGTCCGAAGGGGTGTGGGTCTGTAGAGACTCCACTACCACCGGCGGCTGTCCCGAGCGTCCGCCATAGCGCACTCTCGGGATAGAGGGTGGCTAGGTGCCACGACATCACCGATGCTGGAGCCGTCGCTCTCAACCTAGTCATCCATGAGGTCATGGAAAGAGGTAGGAACGTAGCCCGCCATTCCCACAAATTCGGACGTGAGAGGGGGTGGCATCAATATCTTTCGGAGCCCCCGTGCGTACGCGTCCATGGGAGACGCGAGGCCATAGGGGAACCGGACGCATGGCGGTCACGACAGGGACAACGGGGTCCCTTCGGAGAGTCGGTGGAAGATAGTAAATAGCGAGTAAATAACAGTATGTACATTACTCACAGCGGGGTTTGAGCCTAGCGTAGGCTTAGAGCGAAGCGCAGGCGTCTCGTCGTTGAGGTTACCGGGTGTCCCGGTGTCAACGGAGGGCGCTCCTCCTCCGACGGGCGCCGGGACAAGTGACTCCTCGCGAAGGCGAAGCACGCCGAGCTGGTCGGCGACGGAGTCTAGGCTTCCAAAGAGAAAGGTCTGGGATGGCTCGAAGACGGGAGGAACCCACATCCCAACCGGTGGGAGAGTGGGAAACTCCAGTGAGCCGAAGCGAGTCGTATCGCTTGAGCCCGTCATGCGGAAGGTGGCGGAAAGGTGGGCCATCCGATGACCAAAAGCGTGAACGTACGGCGTCTTCCCCACGGACGACGCCAACTGTCTGTGCGAAAAGTGACTAACTAGTAAATATTTGTTGTTTTGCCGTACGTTGTGATCGGATGTGGCCTATCACTCGATGACAAATGGTTTATACTGGTTCAGGCAACGTGCCCTACATCCAGTTTGAGTCGGTCGGTGACTTTATTTCTGAGCCCAGGTGCTCAAAGTTTGCTGTGGGGTTACAAACGAGAGGGAGTAAGATGGGGGGTATCAGAGGTCCGGTCGGACTCTGGACCGAAGGGCCGAGAGTGACGGGAGCTTCTACGTGCGCTAAGTATTGAAACATATACTCTGTGTAGCTTTAGAATATCTAAAGCTAGCAGAGAGTGAGTCGGAATGATCCGTGTGTTGTCTGTTGTTTTTCGAATCGTTCTCCTTTTAGGAGAGGACGCATCCCCTTTTATAGATGAAGGGGATGACCTTACAAGAGAGAGAGAGGGGGAGTATGTGTTATCTAGTCTTGTTGCCCACGCTGTCGGGTACGAGATGGTTTGTCGACACCTACAATACTGTTGACGCCCTGATGCATGTGATTGGTTCCATCGTGTTCTTCTGGTATGGCAAATGTCGGCGCCTACCATACAGTAGGATAAATGTCGGCGCCCACAACACTGTTCGTGTCATGCCATGTTAGAAGGCTGCAAAGTACCATTCTGACACGGCTTGACAGTACTGTCCTGCAGGTTTGCAGGGTACGGTCCTCGGTATTACGGTTGACCTGTGCGCCTTACCTTATCTGCTCCGCCTGATTTCTTGGGTCCTCACCGAGCGGAACGCCCCGTTCGGTCGTTTTCAGTCGGCTCCGACCGCGCCGGTCGGAGAAGAGCCGCAGGTAGAGGTTTGGTGTGTTTCCGGTCGGAGAGGTGGGTCGGAGTCGAAAATGAGCGTCGTCCCTTCTTGGCCAGACGTTCCGGTTGGAGACTGGATCTTCTTTCCGGCCTGTCGTTAGGTATCCGGGCCGGCCCAGGAGTTACGCGTCGTTCGCAACGTCGTCTGCTAGGCCAAGCTTTTGCTGGAAAGCAGGTCTATTAGGGACCCCGAGTTTATGAACCCAACATCAACTCTTCTCTGGTCGGCAGGTCGCCATCTCGAGTTAGCATCGGGAGCTCCGCGCCACAACCAGCCAACGATCCGGCGCAACCTGCCCATGCCATATTCGGCGCGGCGCGGCCTCGGCGCGTCATGTGTCTTGCTGGCTGTGACAAGTGCGAAAACTTGTTCTAGGCCCATTCGTTTGTCTTATGAGCCGTACTATTTCAGCGAACAAATAATATTTTTTTCTCGTAACAAATCAACAAACAGTACTTCCAAGACTTTTCAGCGAAGTGAACAAGGCATAATGAATGCCACACGGCCAGAGTCAAAACAGAAGCTGAGAGCTGCGTTCGCTTCGGCTATGCTTAGGCACCAAGCACGCCGGTTACACGACGGAACTGAAAACGCTAGCGGTACTTCATCGATCGTGCAACTAAGCACTATATATGGATCGACTGCGTTTCTGGGTAATAATACAATACAATACATTTCACAAATTTTAAGTTGACATAAAAGAATACTCAAATGATACATTTATCCATGGATTAAACATAATTAAAAAAATTCTTCTCAAATTATGGTTTCTTTTTGACAAACTTTGCTAAATTTAAGTATGGGTACCCTACAGAATGTGTTATATTTCAGTATAAATTTTAGAAGTCATAATGCATTGTATTTTAGAACAGAGAGAGCAATATTTATTTTAACTATCAATATACATAAAAATATATCACCTCAAATGGAGATAGTTATACATTATGAAAGTATTTCTAATATATTGTATTGGTAATCTTGTGTTGTTAACTTCTGTCGTTCTCATGTAAGGAAATTGTGAAATTGAAAAGCTTCTTTCCTCCATTTGAGGATTACAATTTCAAGTTTGATAATGGAAAATTTTCCTAATTTAAAATAGGACATAACAAAAAATAGTATTTAAAGTTTTGGTTTATTTAAATGAAAGCCAATTAAGTTGTTTTGAAGGTTTTAATTCGTTGGAGTTGACTTTCAAGTGATTTGTTCAGTTTTTCTTCCAAACTCATTACTACTACAGTCCAGTGAGCTATGCCAATCAAGATCTCCAAACTTTGCCATGGTGTAACCCCTCGTCGGTCCTCAAGTCAAGTTTTTGCATGAGAGTCTTATTTTAAATCATTGCTCACATTTAACATTGTTTAGTGGTCAAACATTTCCTAGAATGCGTGAGTAGTGAGAAACACATCGCTATCTCGACTTTTATCGCAACTAAGCGGCCGCCGTGATTCCACCAGGCCACTAGCTCTCCCAATCCTTTAGGCATCAATCGACATCAATGGTAATCAACTTCTACCTTGTTATTTGGTTGTCTTACAAATGTCAAATTGGATTTTACTTGTTCTAGTACTGCTTTGAATTTTGATGTATCATGCGTATCTAGAGATGTGAATTTGGAATGTTATGTTGTAATGTTGTGCAAATCATATATTTTGGTGTAATCTTGAATTTATTGAAATAGAAAAATATATTATTATGTTGGTAGATCCACACCCGTAAGGGTTAAAAGAGAAAATTTATTATTGTGTTGAGAGATCTACACGTGCCTCATTGGGTTTTTGGCCAAGGTTAGCTTTTCTTACGTGAAGCCTTAGGGGCTAGGTTAGGTTTTTAGGTCTGTTTCACACAGCTCAGTTTCACCATGTAAGTTGGTTTTTTGAAAAAACAATTTCATAAGCAGCTTTAACAGTAAATATAAGCTGTTTTAGAAAAACTATTTGGCAAAACAGCTTCACCAACACCTTTATATATGACTGAGAGAGGAAAATAAAGGAGAGAGAGCTGTGAAAAGGCATTTTTTAGCTTCATCTCTTTCCAATACTTGGTGAGAGTATAACAAATGAGCTTCACCATGAAGCTATTTCAAAAAATGGTGTTTGAAAAAAAAATAACTCAGGCCTCGTTCACTTTGCAAAAAAAGTGAACCCGATAAATAGTACCACTTTCGTCTTATTTGGCAAATATTGTCCAATCGTGGACCAACTAGGCTCAAAAGATTCATCTCGTGATTTTCAACTAAACTGTGTAATTAGTTTTTTTTTACCTATATTTAATACTCCATGCAAGCGGCTAAAAATTAATGTGATGGAGAGAGAGTGAAAAAACTTGAAATTTGGATGGCATCTAAATAAGGCGTCACAACAGCTCATGAAGTTGTGCCAAACATGACCTTAGTTCAGGTACACTGGTGCATAGATGGTTCAATGGCTTGATCCGGCCCGTTGTCATTCCTAAGTCGACTCCTTTTTATCCCAAAACACATACGCTAGAGCATTAAAAAGAGCTCTAGTCCCTCGTTGATTCAAAATTAAGCAAAGCGCACCGAATCCGTTGCTACCATAAAAAAACAATCAGCGCTTCCTTCCTGGACACGCTACAAGGCACTGACTGCGGGGTCCGCCTAGCACCCACCGTGCATCTCCTATATATATATAAACCTCCAGCGAGGCGCCACACCGGAAAGCGACACGACCGCGCCCGAGAAGACCACACCGCACCGCCTCCTCCGCCCAGCCACCTGCCCCCGCCGATTCGTCGAGCTCGCCTCGCGCCCTCGCCCGCTCGCCTAACTCCCCTGCCTCTTCCCTTCCTCCCCACCTCCTCCCCCGCGACCGTGCTCCCGCATGCCAGCGCGCTGACCGGCGGACGACGTACGGGGTGGGCATCATGGACAAGTACGAGGCTGTTCGGGACATCGGGTCGGGCAACTTCGGGGTGGCGCGGTTGATGCGCAACCGCGAGACCCGAGGGCTCGTCGCCGTCAAGCTCATCGAGCGCGGCCACCGGGTCTGAGCCTTGGCTTCGCTGCTCTTTCGACTCGAAGGGTTTGGGTCGGTTTGGTTTGCTGAGGGTTCGGATCCGGCCGGTGGTTCTGGTTTTGTTGTGTTGATCGGGTGTTTTTTTTCTCAGATCGACGAGAATGTGTACCGCGAGATCGTCAACCACCGGTCGCTGCGGCACCCGAACATCATCCAGTTCATAGAGGTGCGTGTGCCAATAAGGAGCAGATATTTATCGATTGTTTGTTTATTACTCCCTTTTGTCCTGTTATTAGGTTCATCTGTAGTGTTGGGGGTAAAAGAAGACTTTGTTCTATGCGGTGTGCGTGTGCTTTTGTGCGGTTTGAAGGAGGCGCCGATGAAGCGGAAATTTTGACGAAGAGTGCATCTTCTTCTTGATTTGTTGTGTTTATTGGCAATCTGTTTTGAGATTGCATTCAAGCAATCAAACTGGCCGTCCATGCTCTTGCCTTTTAGGATTTGTGGGTCAGTATTGGGTTTTGATTATTTGGGAAATAAGCTGCTTGGATCTGAAGTGTGTCCCAAGTTTATTTTTCTCCCTTTTAGTTTCTCTAGTACTAGTACATAACACTATTTTCTATTACTTTTTATAAATATACTGGCTAAATAAACGAGCACCAACTCAAAAGCTTATTCCATTAGGGAAAAAACTCTGCAGGTGATCCTAACACCAACGCATCTTGCAATTGTGATGGAGTATGCGGCTGGTGGTGAACTATTTGATCGAATCGTCGATCGTGGGCGATTTAGCGAGGATGAGGTACTATATTATCATTGATGTTCTTTTAGTACTATTCTAGCCTTAATTTTGAAGTGCAGGTGTTCTCTTCTGCTCATTGTAGGCCAGGTATTTCTTCCAGCAGTTGATCTGTGGAGTGAGCTATTGCCATCACATGGTATGAGGAAACTATAAATTAGCGTCTAGTCATTACAGTTCACATATACTAGATATGCTTTGTTGTGGGAAGTGCAGGTGTTTTTTTTTTAATTATTTATGAGTGGGGCCTGAACATATGCTTAAATGTTGGAATCTTATCTACTTTTCAGCAAATATGCCATAGAGATTTGAAGCTGGAGAATGTTCTCTTGGATGGCAGCCCAGCTCCACGGCTTAAGATATGTGATTTTGGCTACTCCAAGGTTGTCTCTAATTTCTCGTTGTATTGGTAGCTTTAAGTTCTTTGACATTTCTGTAAGCTTGCTTAAGAATACCATTTAATTGCTAATTCGTAACAGTCATCAGTACTACATTCAAGGCCAAAATCAGCTGTGGGGACGCCAGCATATATTGCACCAGAGGTGCTTTCTCGGCGGGAGTACGATGGGAAGGTGAGTGGCAAGAATCTCATGTTTATGTATACTTGCATGTTGATGTTCTGTTAAGCATATATTCAAAAGTACGTCAGTAATATTCTTCGTCTTATCATTATTACACATCATATTTAGGCCTTGTTTAGTTCCTCCCTAAAGTTTACTCCCTATTCCATCGAATGTTTGAACACATGCATGGAGTATTAAATATAGACTAAAAAAATAACTAATTGCACAGTTTGCGACTAATTTGCGAGACTAATCTTTTAGCCTAATTAGTCTATGATTTGACAATGTGGTGCTACAGTAACATATGCGCTAATGACGAATTAATTAGGATTAATAAATTCGTCTCGCGGATTACTAACGGATTCAGTAATTTGTTTTTTTATTAGTATCCGAACACCCCATGCGATACCCCCATGTGACACCTCAAAACTTTGCACCCTGGATTTAAACAAGGCCTTAGTTACATTCTTATTTTGTTGGCATTCACATTAGTACTGGATGTTGCCTGCAAGTGCTGCTTGGTCAAGTTTAGTGATTATTTAGAGTTATTCATTTCAAAAAATGTTATCAAGATGTAGAGGTACCATCTTGTTACAAAAATCTCGTCTAAGTACTTATAATTAAGTTATCCATTAATATGCGCAACATATCTGATTCTTTAAAAATCGTGGCACCGCACATGTTTGGTTCTTTTGTGGACAGTTAAATCTGATGGTCCACAATTGCCTGTATTGGTTCTGGAGAATTTGCGCCCAATATTGATGTCATTAAGGAAAGAGGCTTGAGATAAGAAAGATACCTATCTTGAACTTCCCAATTTCGATAACATACTTGGTCAGGTGTTTACATTCTTTCTGAAGAACCGTTTATTCATTAGTTGTTTCGTAGACAAACATATTTGTGTATATGATTTGATTTCACCATCTTATAGTAGATACTGATAAGAAACTTCAGCATGAAGACACACTTCCTAGATTAATATTCAGTTTTATGGTTAGTTGTAACATTTTAAACCATTAATTCCTGGAGTTATCTTGGTCAATACTTGTGACTTCTAGAAGACAGTCGATTGATTATTGGAATATGTAGCAACAGTGAATAGAGGATACGTAGTCGCTTTCAGACATGGTGTTGGAATCTTGCCTCTTCATCCTTTGTTTCTGTTGGTAAGGTGTACCCTAACAGATGTTGACACTGATAAAGTAGAGTGGACTCATTGGCCCATTGCACATGCAGACCACCCATCGAGTGGACCTTCTACAGATAATCCACTCTCCAATATGTTGGGCCAAGTTTTGGTGTAGTTAATGGAGTCTTGGCCTTTAATATGTTTCTCTGTGTCCATACTCTTTCAGTAGATTAGCTAGATTTTTTAGGCAAGTAAACTGCATATGGTCACTGGTCAGCACATAGGCTCTCCTTTTTTATTCAAGGTGACTTTAGAGCTGTATCTTGTTTGATTCACCACATCATGTACCTTCTACAGGCTGGACTACCAAGTTAGTTGTATATGTGCAGTTCAGATACTATGGCTGTATGGACACATCCATACTGATTTACCAACAAAAAAATGGTGAAAAATGTTCAGTGCTTTCATTGACACATAATTTCAACTAGCAAAAGAATATTATTGTCAAATTACCAATTTACTGTCATTCTGTTATGGTATAGCCAGTGGAAATCAACAGTTAGCTTCTGTTGATTGAATCATGACTTTTTTTCGCGAGTATTTCATTAAGAAGAGGGGTGGTACGGAGACCAGTACAACGAGCACTCACCACAGATCGTGGCCGGCGGATTACAGTGCGGAATCATGATACAAGAATCACTTATCAAAATAGAAAAAATGTGCTGGAGTCTAGAGTTTGTCATTTCAGCAAGTTCCACTCATGTAGCTGTTTATATGTAGTTAAATTGTTAAATTAGGTTATTCTTAAGAAGATCCCTATAGATAAAACATAACCCTTTGTTTCCATCAAGAATTGTTGAAATCAAGCGTTAGAATGCGAACTGGCAATGGTAAATCTATTAAATTATAGGGTCAATCAATTCATCCATCAAAACATATCATGACTCGATGTTGCAGAATTTGTTTATTCTTGGCAAAATGGGGATATCTGATATCTCTCTGCCTTTTTAGATATACTCCTATTTTTCTTTTTTGCTTTAGTTTCCTTGAATTTTGTTTATTGTGAAAATGATACAGTGGATAAAGCTTTTCTTTGTTATTATTGCATTGTGATGACACTAGATGTGGCAGAAGTTATCTCAATGAACTTATCCAGTTGATGTGGACATTACTTGATCTCCATTAGAAAGCTAACTATTATTGGGATATTGACCAGAGTCATATCCAATTATCCATAGCCAGTTCAAGCATGCCATCTACACGAGCATCTATTGCTTGATCATTTACACTTTTGCTTTTGGTGGTCCTTATCCTAATTTAGCTCATATTATTATTGTTAATTATAAATATGAAATATATGAATATGCTAGGAGCACAAATGAAACACATTGCTTCCTTTCAAACAGCATTAGTACCTGGTGTTACCGAGTAATGACAATTGACCAGTGTATTTTGGTAGTGTAGCTTGCAGATGTATGGTCCTGTGGAGTCACTCTTTTTGTCATGCTTGTGGGAGCCTACCCGTTTGAAGATCAGGATGATCCTAAAAATATTAGAAAGACCATTCAGGTGACAGCTAGGTGCCTATGTTATGGATGATCTTCACATATATTGAGGAAAATATATATTTTGCCCCCTAACATTTACACCTTTATTTTCAGCGAATAGCAGCAATTCAATATAATATCCCAGACAATATTCACATATCTGATGATTGCAGACAGCTCATTTCACGTATCTTTGTTAGCAATCCATTAAGGGTAATACAATGAACTATCTCAATTGTAGTGTCACTGTATCAGCATGGTTATTGGGTCTATAAGTGGCTTACCTTTGTTTTTTGCAATTTTGAATTTCCCATAGAGAATCACCATGAGGGAAATAAAAAGCCATCCATGGTTCCTAAAGAACTTGCCGAGGGAGCTCACAGAAGCGGTGCAGTTATCCTACTTCAGGAGGGACAACAGTGTCTCTGCCTTTTCAGACCAAACAACCGAAGAAATCATGAAGATTGTCAAGGAGGCAAGAACCTTGCCAAAATCATCGAGATCAGGCTATGGCTACAGTGAAGAATGCTCAGATGAGGAGGAAAAGGAAGAGGAGAGCGAACCCAAAGAGGAGGAAGAAGATGAGTGTGATAAGAGGGTTAGGGAGGTTCGCGAAAGCGGGGAGCTGGATATGACCTCACTGCACATCTAAATGCTGCCTGTGACGTGTCTGAATGTAGATAATTGGCTTTGTCTGCTGAATTTGGTAGAATGTATGCAATTCTGGCGTCAGATATAGTAGTCTATTTAAGCCTTCTCCACCCTGTAATATATTTGTTTTGTTGAACTGTATGTGTGGTATATGGGTTTGTTCTAAAGGAGCAAGGTTTTGTACAGGCACACCTGATTGTGTTTTTGGATAGGAAGTTCTACCGTTTGTTTGCACTCTGTAGCAAACATTTTGGAGTTTGTAAGCCATATGTTGGGGCATATCCGGTAAAAATGGATGAAATGCTGCAAATTCTGTCAGAATTAGTTGTGACACTTTGCAAACATTGAAGATAAAAGATTTTGAAATCGGGTGTGCATTTCTTCCCATGAGAAGTTTACTTGACTAAGAACTTAGCATCTCTCCCCCGCGTCACCCACCCACACAGGCGACACAGGCAGCGAACAAACCCAGGCGCCACCCCAGACAACCACCGCCCTTCCCTCCCTTGCCGCTGCTGGAGGGAGCAGCCAGGAGGCCCGTGCGGCTCCCTAGGAGGGCGGCGGCGAGGCCTTTGCCCAGGATGGTCGCGGGTGACGTCGTGTGGGGCGGAGCTCGGCGGCTGGGATGACGCCGCGGCTAGGCGCGTCAGGCGTTGGCACATGAAGGCGCAGGGAGGCGGCCGGAGGGGGTGCGTCGCGCGACGGCCGGGCGGCACTGCGGCTTGGGCGGCAAGGATGGCGCGCGGAGATCCGGCGGGGGCGTGCTGTCTAGGCTTCCAGACGGCGGCGGCGACTGCCCTCCCACCGGATCTGGTCTCCAGAGGCTTGGGCTAGACGGATCCGGCCGGAAAGGGCTCGATGAGGGCGGCGCGGGTGCTTAGGCCTGCTCCGCCTGTCCCCTTCCTCCATGGCGGCGGCGGCGGCCCGGACCGCCGGGGTTTGGTGCTCGGGCGCCCGGATCTGCGTCCCGGTGGCTGGCTCCAAGCCGGGGTCAACGACTGCGGCGCAGCAGCGGCCTGGGTCGACGGAGGTCGCTGGGGGACACGGGCGGCGACAGCCGGTGCCCGTGCTGGCACAAGGTGTGGCGGCTCCGGCGACTCACCGTCGTGGACTTCGGGCGCGGCTTCGGGAATGACGGGCGGCAACCCACACTTGGCAACGGCAGCAACGAGGCCTGTGCAGGGGGTTTGGGGTCTTGGCGAAAGCCTTGCCCTTTCGGGCCAATGACGGCGACACCTCCAGGCGCCGTTTACTTCTTGGAAGCATCCATCGATCGGCCCTCTCCCTTGTGTGGCGCTTTCTTCTTGGGTGTAAAACATTAACCTTCTGGTTAGGCGACGGCGGCGCTTGTGGCATCGTTCCCCTCGTTGGAGGCGTCGTTTTGGAAGCTCATGATATGCTAGCCATGGCGGTTGCTGACAAGGTGGGACGTAGTTGAGGATTCGAGGTCCAGTGTCCATGGCGTCAGAAGGTGGCTAGGAAGAAGGCGTTGCGCAGCGATTGGAGAGCTTGGCATCTGCTTGGTGAAAGGGCGACGGTTCTGGAGGGACCGTGCGCTAGTTGTGCCCACTAAGATGGCGAGGAGGCCGGCGTGGGCGGCACCTATGAAGTTGGTGAGGAGGCCACCGTGGGAGGTGGTGGCCAGCAGATTTGCGTTGCCGAGTTGACCTGCGTGGTTGGGCGGCGGGTGGTCCCGCTCATCGGCGGCTGTTCCGGCGTAAGGAAGTTTTGTGACTGGCAACTGGAGGATCCATGTGGCACTTCTACATTTGATGAGGCAGCTAGGTTGCTGTAAACTACAGTGTACGCACCTGGATCTCGGTGGACGGGATAGGCTGGATGAGCGCAAGAGGCAACTGCTCACGCGTTGGTTTGGCAACTTGTAGCGGACTACGGTAGCTAGCCCTGCTTGGCGGTGGCTAGTCCGGTGTGGTACATCGTCTTGACAGGCGACGCAAGCAGATCCGATTGCGGGAGGGCTACGCGGCTTGCAGCGACCTACGGCGACTAGCTCTGCTTGGCAGTAGGCTAGCTCAGTGTGGGTCATCGTCGGTGACGATGGCGTGAGCGGTGACGACAGCGTTTTCGCCCTGACGTCCATGTTGTTCGGGTTTTTGGCAATGCAGTGTGGAGACCATCTAGTGGGTTGGAGTTTATTGGTGGTTTCTTTTTCTGAGTTGAGCTTCGGCTTCGTGCGGTTCGTGTCGATGTCCCAATCCGACCGACCAAAGTTGTTTTTTCCTTTTGTTGAGTTTGTTTTCCATCGTGGTTGTTGGTCGCTGTTGTATTGTTGTGCTCACTTTGGGCTTCCATCTTTTTAATATAATCGGCAGCTCTCTTGCCTGGTTCGTTTCAAAATATCACCTTCGGCACTAGTTTGCTGTTCAAGTTAGTAGTACTCAATAAGCCTGTGAGTTATAAAGCACAGGCAATATAAAGCACCATTCTGTTCCAATGTTGCATATTCTTTCTGATGGCTGAAAATGCCTAACAGGTAGCTCTTTGGCTCTTTGCATATATGGAAGCTCACATGAGGACGCAGGATGATGACCTGCCAGAATGCCTAATGGTACACATTCTCTTCTTTTTTTCTGGGTGATAGACTGATAGCAGTGTTTCACATTTTTTCTGTATGGAGACGTGAATCTTAGCATTGACAAATTGCTCTGCACATGGCTTTAGTCTGCCCTGTAGTGTAGACAAGATAATAGCCAAGGCAGAATGAAATGTAGCTTATGGATGACATCGATGCAACATTTAACATTTTTTTTTGTTGCTTTTGCATAGAAATTCTGGTTTATAAACTTCACCTGTATTTACAAGTAATTCACTATAGATACGTGGATAAATAAAAGGTGCTTATTACTTGTTGTATACTGCAATCTTGTAGGCTACCTTCTGCCATAGTCCCATGGATTCAAATTCTTGCCTTGGAACAATTCGCTGCAATTCAACTGAGCCAGATCAATGAGGCTGATTGTAAGCTTTGATTCAATTGTATCTCTATTCTTACTGATCTGATGCATTTGGCATAACATTTATGATTACCATTCACTTCCTACTGATCCGAGGCATTTGGCATATGCAGTGATGATTTATCCTGTTTTGTATTTTATCGCAGCGTTAGCACAGGCACACTACATTTTATCCTCACTGGGCTGTTCAGGGCTTCAGACTAGGTCTGGTCAGAGTACGCCAGGCAGGCCGGCAGGGTGAACCCATCGAGAGCGTCCATGTTATGGTGGGCAACGTCTACACAAGGAAGAGGAGGGCCAGTGGCTGAGAATGGACCGGGCCAAGGCGCCGGGCTGGGCCAGAGCGCGGTCACCATCGCCACAGCACGCCTTGGGGTGTCAGTTGGCCTTCAGTTGCTAGATCCTAGAGTTTAGGAGAGAATTCAGGATAGGAGTCATTTGGTTGTTATCCCTTTGCATTAGCTGAAAGTTGTTAGGATTGGAGTTTAAGTATTGAACTTTTGTGCTTAATAAAGATTAGCCAGAGAATAGAGATTACTCTCTCTTGCTCTTTGGCGTAGCCCTGTTTGGGTCACTGTTCACGGTCCGGCAAACCCCAGGTGCCGAGCACGGCGCCGCCGATCCGCCGCCGGGAGACCAAGCCCCGGCCTATCCCTTCTCATCCCTATGCCCTGAGACCCCGAGGTCGCAACAGTCCATGTCCCTATATTGTTGTAATTATGTTTCCTTTCCAGTTAACTGAAATGGGACATGCCGAGAGCAACATCAGAAGTTAGTATTTCTTTTTTTTTAATTACAATGCATCTGGAAGTGCTTTTCCTATCCAAATACTTCAGTTTTATTGATTTTATGGTTTGCAAGGTAACATTACATATGTGATAATGTTAAGTTAATTTCTTTCTTGCCTCTATGTGTTTGGTCAGGTTACCAGCTACAGGCTACAGCTTTGATTATGATGGGTACTAGTTCTCACGCAGATTCTCAAGAACATGTGCTGATGTGCATCAGCAAACATGTAAGTTCCCTCCTCATGCCAAGATACTGTTGCTGAATTGTTCTTTTTTTTTCTCGATAGCTCAGTTGCTGAATTGTTAGCTTGCTGCTTGCTTGAAGTATTCACCAATGACGACAAGCTCAACACTATCAAGCCTCAATGCCTCATTAGGCTACACCTCAAGGATTGTTTGAAGTGATTATCTGTAATGACCTTGAACCTGCCCTCCCTGTTGTAGGTTGATATATAATTGTAACATTACATTCAAATCAATTGCTTGCATGATCTCACATTCTAATCAAGAGCTTCAGATAGCTATGTGCATGTTTGTTTTCTTTAGGTTCTTTTAAGGAATCATGTGTGTTTTTATGAGTGGTAAATTGCATTCATATGTAATCTTATCTTGACATGGTTCTCAATATCCAAAGGACTGGTACACCTTTTGCTTCATTAATCAAACTCCAAAGGATTGGTACACTTGTCCAGTGTTGGCGTGTTTGTTTTTGTTTCCCTTGACAAATAGCTATTTCGATCTCAGGCTCTCAAGTCTCAATCCATCTTCTCAGAGCGCAAAAAACGTAGCCTGAAAAATATACGGCGTATCTAGGAAATTTTGGCTGCTAATTTGCTATGAGTTGAAATCCCCCCATAACATTTTCCTAGCTCTGACCCGGGTTGGCATGTTTGAACCAGAATCATTGTTGCGAACGCGCGGTGCTGCCGACCCGGGTTTGGACACGGGTATCGCATTGCTTGGCTTTGTACCCACCTCCTCGAGAATTACGGTACTGTCTCCGCGTGCGCCCAAGCGAGATTTCACTGAGGTGCCTTTGCCGCCCGCATCGACATTCGGCAGTCCCAGACTCGATTGCGATCCAATGTGAAACGTTGTGAAGAGGAGACGGGCAAGACGACACTACTGTGATACTTGTCTACTAGGGATGAAAACGGTGAGAATACATCGACCTGCTTGAATTCGTTTTTTTTTTGAACAAATTTAAATTGACCTGTTTGAATTCGTATTTTTGAACAAATTCAAAATCAATACGGAATACAGTATGCCAAATTCAAAAAGAGAACAAAAACGATTTAAGTGTTTTCCGACCGTTTTTTACTTCTCTTATTCTTATTCGGAATATCCTGTTTTTGAAATACATAGCCCAGCCCAGACGACCCAAGGGGCGCAATGCAGTTGCTATGAGTGTCCCTGGATCTAATTATATAAACCATCGGCTCCCTCACTCCCATCATTTAGCGAGGTGGGACTAAAATTGAGAAGTGCGCCTGGCGCCTGGCGCTTGGAGCTTGCTGGCTTGCTTGCTGCCGCTCCTGCCTGGGCTGCAGTGGGCCATTATAGCAAGGTAAAGTGAGTTGTGTGGCTTGACGCTACATTTTTTTTTGCATTATAGATAGTGAATATAAAATTTGGATTGTAGATAAAAAAAAATAAGGGGTGTTTGGATCTTATCCTCGTAGTGACTATCATCTCTATACAGTGAATATCTCTAAATACTCCCTCCGTCCAGAAAAGCTTACAATCCTAGATTCCCGAGGCAAACTTACAAGAGCTGAGAAATGTCACGTTTACCCCTACTCCCGGTACTCATCATATCACTCGCAGCTAATTTTCTTTTGTACTTAGTGGGGAGCTCAAACATTAGCCTACGAAGCTATAATTGCATTCTTCGCCGGACATGATATAGAGGCCAGAATTGCGTGCTTATCGACTCAGAGGGAGCAGTATTTAGAGTAGACAGTTTGGATTCAATTAGAATCCAATTGTTTAGAGGCCATTCCTATTTTTCTACCTTATTTTATTTTTGAGATCCAAAAGGGGCCTTGAAGAAACATGCGTGCTGCTTCATCAGCAAAAGAGAGAGAGAGAGGAGAAAACAACAACGGTCACCCTAGATGCTTCCAATTTTTCACACCCGTGCCCCCGGCAACCGCACCAAGCCACCAACGCGGCAACGACACAGACAAAGGATCCTTTTCCTGAATAAGCCAAACTACCTGGCTTGATCTACAAAACGTGCCGGGAAACAACAACAGAAAAATACTTCGCCGAGAAGGAAGAATCAGCCGGGCGGTTGGACGCGGAGATGCTGAGACGATGGACGGACGCACGGAGTCACCACGAACCTATCAACTTGTCTCCAGATCCAGATTACCCACGACGGCACCGCCAGCCTGGACGGACGACTATAAAGACGAGCCCCCACCTAGAAGTCGACGGCGATGAAGAAGACTAGTTCCCAGCTCCGGCAGCTTAGCAACCCTCTCCTGATCCTCCTGTTCCTCATAGCTAGCAGCAGCCATGGCGGCCGAGCCGGAGAAGCAGGAGGTGTTAGGATCGTTAGGTACCTTTCTGTGTAACCGTAGATTCGGGTAAAGCCTCCTTGGCTCTTGAGGAGCTTCACCGCAGCGACGTGGACGCCGGTGCCGTGGTGTAGTAGGCGACATGGTGGCGTCCAGGGTGGTGGAGATGACGTCCAGTGGCGCTGCAGTGACAACGGTGAGGTTGGTGGGCTTCCCGTCGTTGGCAGCACTACTTTGATCGGTTTAGGTTTACTGTGGGTGGGATGGCGGCGGCTCCGTTGAACCTCATAGCACGAGCTCTGATCCCCACCTTACCTTTTATATGTGTTGTGCGACAGGGGCCCACCAACCGTATTAGGGTTGGGCTCCCTCAATCAGGGAGCAAAGACAAGGGCCCAATAGGCCGTTGGGCCTATTGGTGGAGATCAACTAACATTCTCCCCCTTGATCTCACTATCATCTTTTAATTTCATATCATTTACTTTTGTTCACTCCACTACATATTAGCGCATAGAGCATGTCTCATCGTCACGGTCCATTGCCGATAGATTTAACAGTTATAACACACTACTCTGTCCTGAAATAGATACTTATCTTTGGGCCTTCTTTTGTCCAGGAATTTTAGGCTTTCCCTTAAACCCATGCTAGCTACATGTTCTCTGAACATGTTGGGTGGTAAGCCTTTTGTAAGCGGATCCGCGAACATCTTTTCTGTACTTATATGCTCAAGACTTATGACTTGATCCCGGACTTTATCTTTCACAACATAATACTCTATGTCAATGTGTTTGGCAGCACCACTTGACTTATGTTGTGAGCATACTGTACTGCCGAATTATCATCGCAGTATAACTTAAGTGGTTTATAGATGTCGTCAACCACCTTCAAACCGGATATGAACTTCTTTAGTCAGTTCACCTGCCCCGTTGCCTCATATCACGCTACAAACTGTCATACATTATGGACGATGTAGTGACGGTTTACATTTGAGCTTTTCTATGAAATAGCTCCCCTTTTGCGAGAGTGAATACATATTCTTTCTAAATTTTCTATCATCTCTCGCATAATTAGAATCTGAATATCCCACTATGTGGAGTGAATCAGATCTTCTATATGTCATCATGAGGCCTTTCGTTCCTTGCAAATAATGCAAGACTTTCTTTACTAATTTCAGTGTTCTGTTCCAGAATTAATCTGGAATCTGCCAAGTAACCCGGTAACAAATGCCAAGTCAGGGCGCGTACATACTTGAGCATGTTGCAAGCTTCCGACAGCTGAAGCATATGGAACCACTTTTATTTGATTGAGCTCATATTGGTTCCTGGTGAAATGTCACTATTTGGTTTTGGTAATTGAGTGACAACTTAGGTGGACTAATTGCGTTTATGTGAGATACACATGTGATTAGTCCACAGGTACATGTGTGTGAGCAACATATGCCATGAAAGTGAAAATGGCTTGGAGATGTTGCAAAGCTCACACATGTGATGATGAAGGAGCTTATTGCACGTGAGACATGACATTGAGTCATGTGATCAAGGTGGAGAAGATCAAGGCAAGACTTGGCTTGATGGACCGGTTGCAAGCGTGAAGGGCAAGTTGGAGGCTTTGGAGTGATGGACCGCATGGCGGTGAAGCTTGAGCAAGACTTGGCGCCGATGGACGATGACAACGGTGAAGAGCAAGTGAAGTCAAGATCGATGAACCAATATGATCACGTGATGATATGAAGTGGATCATATCATTGTTGATCATGTTGGTGCATGTGTTGCATCGACGTTGGAGGAGATGGAATGGAATGTGCAAGGCAAAGGTATAACCTAGGGCATTTCATTTCACCGGTCATAGGTGTGTAGAGAAGTTTATGACCGGGTTTAGGATAGATGGCCGTACTATCAAGAGGAGCAAACTTGTTTGCATATCGGTCATCTAGTGCCACTCGAGTGATCTAACTTTGCATCATCGCTAGGATTGAGTGGCGTGGCAAGATGAGTGGCTAACCCTTTGGGAAATGATTGTGAAAAGCTAACACACATACACATGGTGGTGTACACTTGGTGGTGTTGGCACATTTACAAAGGAGATGATGTTGGAGTTGATGTGGATCAACTTGGCGAAGAAAAGGAGTGAGTCGCGCTGGTTAGAAAGTGACCGGACGAGTCTGGTATGGTGACCGGACACGTCCGGTATTAACAGGCGAACTCAGCGACCGAACGCGTCCGGTCGCCACTCCGGTGTGAATCTGCATGGTCGAAGTTCTGTGAATGGTCGACCGGACGCTGGCAGCGTCCGATCATGGGTGACCGGACGCGTCCGGTCAGACCTGGGTGCTTACTGGACTCGACCGGACGCAGCGGCTCTACGTCCGGTCATGTCTGCTTCTGCGTCCGGTGTGAGCGTCCGGTCGGACATGTCAGAGAGCCGTTGTGGCAACGGCTAGCTTGAATGGGACACGTGGCGGTCAGGCGCCACCGGACGCGTCCGGTATGCACGTCCGGTGCGTCCGGTGCTGCATCCAGTCAGCCCGAAAAACGCCCAGTGAAGAGGTAACAGCTAGTTTAGCCCTTGGGGCTATAAATATAAGAGGCCCTTGGCCATGGCTAGGGTGGAGCACCTGAGGGGACTTAGTGTCCATGCTTGTGAGTGCTTGGGAGCCCTCCATCACACATATACTTGATAGTGATCATTCGATTGTGTGAGTGAGCGATTCTAGTGCGATTGCATCATGAGGTTACATCGAGTGGCACTAGGTGATCGAGTTGCAAGCCGGTGGTGCTTGTTACTCTTAGAGGTTGCCACCTCCTAGATGGCTTGGTGGTGGTCTCCGTTGAAGCCTGCAAGAAGCTTGTGCGGGGCTCCGGAGAAGAGCTTTGTGAGGGGCATTGTGCTCGCCCCGCGGGAGCCACGAAGAGCAACTTTAGTAAAGCGTGTCATTGAGCTACCCTCACTCAAGGGGTAGGTTCTTGCGGCGCCCGACGTGCGGGCTTAGCGGGTGATGCTAATTAGCCACCGAACCACCAAGTGAGCGGTCGACACAACGAGGACTAGCGTGTTGGCAAACACGTGAACCTCGGGAGAAAAATCATCGTGTCAACCTTGTTCTTCCCGTTGGTTTGCTTCCCCATTACACAAGCTTGCATTTACTTTCATATATATTAAGCTTGTGTAGTTGCTCTTGTAATTAGTTTGCTTGTGTAGCATATTAGTTACCTTCTTGTTTGTGTAGCATAGAAGTAGCTCCCTTGCGTGGCTAATTTGGTTTGAGTAACCTTGTTAGTCACATTGCTTAGTTTGTGTAGCTAAGTATTTGCGCTCTCTAATTTGGCATTGGTTGCCTTGTTATTGAGCATTGCTAGTGAGCTTAGGTGGCTTTGTGCTTTTGCTTACTAGCATGTGTAGGAGCTCCCTTGTCGCTTAAAGTACTAGTGGCATAGGTTTTTGTGACCTTGCTCCTAGAATTGCTTAGGTGAGCTCTAGCTAGCCCAGCACCTTAATTGCTTAATTAGTATATTTGAAAGGTGCTAAAGAACATAGATAGAGGGGTGTAGTCTTGGCTAGACCGATAGTTTTAATTCCGCACTTGTTTCGGTTAGCCGACGCGATTAAATTTTAAAAAGGACTATTCACCCCCCCTCTAGTCGCCATCTCGACCTTTCAAGTGGTATCAAAGCTCGGTCTCTCATTTGTGGTCTTCACCGACCCGAGAGGATGGCGCCTAATGGGCTAGATGGTTGTGAGAATCACATTTTCGATGGCACAAACTTTGCACTTTGGGAAAATCACATGCTTGATCATTTTCGTGCAAAGGGACCTAAATTTTAGTGGGTTGTCACTAGTGGTCTCACCCATGTCTTGGATCGTAGAACTCTAACCAAAGCTCAAAGAGTCCTCTATGAATTTGATGCACATGCTTGTTGTTTTCTATTGGATGCTTTACACTTTGATTTGATGAAGCAAGTAAACTACAAGGGGACCGCTCGTGAGATATGGGACTCCATCAAGGACACCTTCGGTGATTCCTCCACATGGGATGATGGTAAATTCAAGAAGGAGGATGAGCCCAAGAAGGAGGCACATGAGTGTGTTGAGCATAACCACAATTTGGTGATTGTGGAAGATTGCTCCACCTCATGGTCAAGTGATGATGATGATAGATCAACTACAAGTTCACTTGACAAGGTTGATGATGATGCCACAAGTGTTACAAGTGATGATGCTACCCTATGCACACTTGATGGTGATGATGGTTCATGCTCAAGCCATGATGATGCTACTATAAGCCCATCCACTACACCACATTGCTTCATGTCACAAGGTGACACTAAGGTATCAAATGATAGTGTGGTTGATCATGTTGATTCTTATGATGAGCTTGTTAGTAGACTTGCTAGCATGACCATGTCTTTAGAAAATGAGAAAGCTAAAACATTGACATTAGAAAATGAAAACTCATTTCTAAAGAACTTTTATGAAGAACATAAGAAATTACTTGATACTTATAAATCTTCACTTGATGAGCTTAAATTGAATCATGAGACACTACTTGCATCTCATGATGAAGGACAACATGCTTCTCTCATTAAAGTGTTTACAAAGAAATTTAAAAAGAATGAGAGCTCATCACATGGATCAAACGATCAATTGCAAAATGTTGCTAACCCTTGTAATGTAGAGAAGAAGCATGTATCCACCTCTTATGATGATTTGTTAGATATGCCATACTCTTCACACATAGATGCTTGTTCTACTTCTATGTCTTGTGAGACTAACATTTTGAAAGGAGAACATTGAGCTCAAAAATAAAGTGAAGAAATTGAGCAACAAGTTAGAGAGGTGCTATAACTCTCAAGTCACCTTTGAGCATATGTTGAAGACTCAAAGAAACTTTGGTGACAAGAGTGGAGTCGGCTTTAAGACTAGCAAAGTCAATCATCAAGAAAGCCGTAATGACATAAGTGGCATTGGCTTCAACAAGAGCAAGATCAAGGGCAAAAGATGGAACAAGAGAAGATATGAAAGAGAGAT